AGAAATATTATATACTTTACATTTCATACATATGCCTCGATATCGATGTAAGAGTATGTAAAAAATGAAATATCACACCACATTAGTAGATTTAATTCAGTATTTAGCACTCAGAGTAAGATCAATGTATGACTACAATGTAGGTTATTGGGTCACAGGGTCAAGGCTTTCTATGGAGGCTTGTCTTACGGAGCTCCTTCTGTGCATTGGAAAACCATTTAGAAAGTTTCTTTGCGATTTATTGGTAATACAAGCACTCGTCTTTGCATGCAATATGTAAACCTAGTTGAAATTTACGAAATTTGAAGTCTGAATCAATTAAAACATAGTATAGGCCACTTGTGAGAAAATTTACAAATGAAATAATTGTTGACTGTTTCACATCACCTCACATCAACAGCCTTTACCACTAGTCCACTGCTTGATTGTTTAATATTACATAATTTTATTCCTAAAAATAGCGGTAGATAAATTCACCAATACTTTAAATGAATTTACATAACCGACTCTCAAATTTGTTCTTTGTATTTGGGACCTTTATTGAAGGACCTTTATTGAAAACAACAGCAATGCTTTAAAAGCATACCCCCTGCTATTTGTAAGAAAAAAACACTACCTCTAAACCCAATTTAAGTTGAAAATGATAAAGTCTGAAAAGTTTAATCACATTATCATAATCATAAATAAGGCTCTATTACATAAGTACATCAATTGTGGCTCATATTTCAGATTGTTGAGCATTAAAGACAGATTTGTTTGTGTGTAATTTTGACAGGCTGCGCGGGCAACCTGCGCGCGCATCTGCCTGCCCGCCATCTTGGCTTTTTATACCATACCCATTTCAATAGAAGAGCGAGCTCGTAACAGCTGTGAGCGTGAAACACTCAACATCCTATCTTCGAAATTACATTTTTTTACAATTGAATAAAGAATTGGTAATAAAAACACAGTTTTAAACAAAATTTGTAACTGAAACAAAAGAAGATGTATACGTTTGGTTCACAATAGTGTCTTCGAATACAACAGTGAGTTATGAAATAACATAAACGAATTATCGATTTTGTATGTTTCAAATCGAGAAAACTGGTGCCATCGTGTTTGACGGTTTATGCTCATGTTGTTTTTTTAGAGATTACAAGTTGGTGTAACGTTTGAAGGAGAGAAATCGATAAGAGTAAAAGTTGCACCCACTGTTGTTGCGTGGCGTGGATGTAAAGACGAACAGAATCGCGACGTGAATCCTATTACACAGCTTGAAGTTGTTCAACCGAGAGTACACAGTAGCCATAGGCTCCCCTAACGTCCGTCGTCACTGATAAAAGGTTAGTATTTCTGTTTTGAAAGCTTTTATCGTATTCATAAATATGTAGAAAATATACATATCATTTTCATTGCTTTACATATATTATTTTAAGATTCGTTACTGATGCACTATATTACTTCGGACGCACGTACCAGCGTTGTTAGTAAAAGTAGTGTAAATATGGCAAATATTGGTGTAGTACAACTCAACTCACTTCGGTTATTTTTACCAAACAAGTACACATTATACATTTTTTTATATAAAAATAATAATTGAAAAGTTAGACTACCTTCGCTAACTTTAAAAAAAAAACCTTTTAATGATCCCTATCAGTAATCCTCTAATTTCTATGAAAATCTTCTTAGTTTCGGTCTTCTTATTAAGGTATGTAAACCCTGTGTATACATCTAGATAGCTACGCTTCTTGTACTACCCACGCACTAGTAATTTTCCGCACACCACAGTACCTATAGGTATACAACGGTAGATCTGAGATGTCTTTACTTAGAAAGGAGTGTAGCCTGATATTGACATCCGGTTATGCAAATATTTCCATTCTATTGTTTTAAATATTGAAAATTCTTCTTTAATTCGTTATTGTGCTAGTTGCCTTTATAAAATTTATATAACAAATACAATAAAGTTTAGATCACTCTAAGGTTGCATCGATTTGAGGTTTGTTTTCATCCTCGCATTTACTAACAGGCAAAATATTTCTATACTGGAATCATTGCCGTAAGTAATATCTTTGATTAAGTAAATTTCTGACAGTTGTTCTGCATTGCTCTGCCAAAGCAAAAGCCATGTACAACTGTGTAATGCGATAAATGAAAACATTAAAATTGACTGCAAACTTGCTTAACCTACTGTGTCGAACCTGTTTTTTTTTTGGATAACTCTTAAAACAGCGGTCATTAATGGATTGATCTTCCAATGGCGTTCACTCCCATCCCGTGACCTATAAGATCTCTGACAGTTAGCCAACAAGAAAGACACGACTCCGCCCTGCTACTGATTTGTAGTTCTTTTTTATTTTTAATCAATGACTATGATATGCATACGTGGTTATAAACGTTTTGTTTTGCTCAACTGTCATATTCGAGGTACAGGTATACGATACTAACCCACTCGTGCTGAGACTCACTGATCTACGATCCACCCGTATAAGCAAATATTAGGTCTTTACCTATATAATAATAATAATATAGATGACACCACACCAACATAATGTACACACCACATGCTTGCATTTAATTGATTTAGGCCCGTAAATACGGTAGCCAGCTAAAAAGCTGAGCAAATAAAAATTAAAACACATAATAATAATAATTTATTGACAATAACAATAAGCTTACATTAATTTCAGAATTCTCTGGCTCCTACACTAGTAGATACTGTGTTGCAGGAGCCAGTGTCCTCCCCAATTTACATAGACAGTCAAAATTTTGGTATACTAAATAAAAAAAAAGAAAGAAAGGAAAAACAAAATTAAAATTTAAAATAATAATCAATTCATGCGCTGTGTGCGTGTGTGTGTGTGTGTGTGTGTGTGTGTGTGTGTGTGTGTGTATGTGTGTGTGTGTGTGTGTGTGTTGGAATATATATATGTGTGTTAGGGCATAAGTTGGTTGACTAAGGTAATAAGTTAGTTCATCACTTATCGACTCTTAATGGATTTTCAACAGTGTCGTAGTCCATTGTACTCAGCCAGGTAGGTACAACTATTTTAAGTTTTAGATGACTGAGCTTTTTATTTTTTGTATCTTGTTACATTTATTGTATATGTAAGGGCCAAGAAAATTAAAATGCCTTTGCCCAGAAGCACTTTTAATTGAAATTGCCGTTTTGTATGCAATAAGTGAAAGTACTTATTTTTTCAAACTTTTTTTATTTCTGTTATTCGATGTAATCACCCATGCAATCGACGCATCTTTGCCAACGCATTGGCAGTTTATTGATGATTTCTTGTAAAAATCAGCTGGACGGGAGGTAAGAAACTCTTCATAGGCATTTTGTACTGCCTCTCGGGAATTTTTTACACACTAAAAAGTTGTCTAAATTTTGGAAAAAGTAATAGTCGGTAGGTGCAAGGTCAATATTAATTGTATACATCATGTATCTCTAAATATTGTTAAGGAAACTCTGTGTCACAGCTCCATTTCTTTTTGCTAAATTATTACCAAGAAAATACGTGAGAGCGAATTAGTTTTATAAGTACACATCGATTCTACCTCAGACAGCTTCTTAATAGGAAAAATACTTGGTCGATCCAAGCGTTAATTGATTTACCTACTTACGTATAACATTGAGAATACCACCCTTGAGTATCTTATTTATAATAATCAAACAGGCCGTAGGCGCAACTTGATGAGATCAACTGAATATTGAGTACTTCAATGGTATTACACGCCTACACGGCATAGCTAACAAACAGTAGGTATTCATAAAGTGTAACATTGTTCATACCATATCTAATAATGGAAGAAAATGAAATAAAATATCAGCGTTATTTTCAATTTTGTACGTATCTTATTGATTTACTCATGCTTTTTGGTTCGTTCGTTTGCTCTACGTGAGTGCACGTTTATAAAACACACATGATAGTTTATATCACTAAAACAGAATCTGATACTTAAATTTATGAAAGAACTGTTTGTGTTGGATTTCGAATTTAGTTTCTTTTAATTTTATAATGTAATTTAAAATATCCTTAATATAAATTGCCTTCAACGATTAGAAAATAGCTATTATATCTGAACAATTTTACTAAGAACAATTTCGATCAAGTCAACTTTCAAGTAAAATAATTTAAAAACTTTTTTTGGGTCAGCAGTTAGAAATATAATGAATAGAAATATAATGCCCTAATGAATAATAAAAAAAAGTAAAAGCTTATTATATGAATAATTTTAAATGTATCCAATCAGCTACTTCAGTATTTTAATTATCTGTATTTGCGCATTATCAATACAATGCCGTAATACTCTGGTGCATTCATATTTTACAAGCTGACTACGGGAGGTTTAGTACAGTGCATTCAGTTGCAATCAGAACCAGAATATTAACAAAAGGTTTCCGTATTGTCAAATAATAGCTAGTGTAGTCTTGTGTAACAATGTTCTGGGGTTGGCACAAGTTCATCGGGAAAAGGATAAAATATCGAATCAGCATCAGCTACAGAATAAATTGGATAAATATATTGTATTAACAATATCTATTACAAGTGTTTTTTTTTCTACTACGTATTTGTTTTGATGCCGTTTTAAATATTGTACAAAAAAAAACAAAATTTTATCTATAGGAATTTGAGCGTGCGTTATATGTATAATGCACGCTCAAATTCCCCTATCGGCTCGGATGTGACGATGCCGATATTATCTAATAGTCGTTTTGTTTCCCCGCTTTGAATAATTTCAGACTAATGATTACACAAAATTATACTCTGTTACTAATGACTTTAAGTTTTATTTTTGCGTTTTATCAATAAAACTGATAAGGTTTTTCGATGACATAGAATAATGCTAGGCTAATGTGGGCTTACTTGTGTGTTAATACATGGTATGGCAAAGTCGAGTTTCGCTAATCAATGCTATGTATGGGAAACGTATCGTATTTTGCATTTGCGATATATTTGTCAGTGCTATAAGCCGTTGCGGCTGTATTTGTAGTGGCAATAAAACTTCAGGAGTGCACTAAAATGGAAACAATTCATGAACATTCTAACAATAATATGAATTTAGAAGATGAGGTCACAACAGTTCTATGCATATTAATATAATATGTGTCTTACTTATGGTATAATTGGTTTGTTTACACGGCAGATGACTGGCGATGCGAAATGGCAGAAGGATGCGGCGGACCAGAACTTCGACTACATGTTCAAATTGCTCATCATAGGAAACAGTTCCGTAGGCAAAACCAGGTATTTATGATTTTGGAGAAAAAAACATACCAAGATAAGAAAGAAAGAGACAACGAAACCATTTATTTGATTGATATGACTTTATATCGAAATGGCTGAGTGTCTAGACAGTCAGACAGTGTAGAGATAGGCTTTAGTAAAAAAATATTCTGAAGTGTTCGTACTAAGCTTCAAGTGGTTCCTTTTTGCAAAACTAAAGCTTATACGTAGGTAACGTACATTAAACTTAGTTTATCTCTACTTATATGGCATCATTCTACTACAATAGTGTATTAAGTGCTGCAGTTCTTATTATTATAAAAATACTTATATAAAAATACTTAATGGTTTCAAAGACATATAATTTGCATGATGATTTATAAGTAAACGTGTATTTAATCTTCATATTTTGAAGCAATTACGTTTGCATAAAGCGTTTGTACATTAGACTTAAATAAAATTATCTAATAAAAGAAATGGTTCTTAATTGAACTACATGTTTTAGTTACATGATTTATTTGTCAGTAACTATAGCAAATAAACTTAAATATAAGTATATTTATAATTAAAAATAAATAATACGTATTATTAGTAAATAGTTATTAACTTCATCCAATGCATTTAGTGTGTATAGAGCATTTGTTACAGAGGATAGGAGAATATTTCCCGTTACTAATGTGGTAAAACCGTGGTTCTGAACCGTGGTCTAAATTTAAGAAAAAAAAAACACCTTTTGTGTTAGAAAATTAAGAAATAAAGAGTACATTTGACAAATTATAATAAAGTAGGCGAAATAAGTCGGTATTACCTTTTTAAGAGTTAATTAAGACTCGTTTTAATTTAATACATCAGTTGAAACCATGTCATTTCATAATAATGGTTCTGTAGTTTAAAATAATCTTAATTTGTACCTCCTAAAATATAGTCATAATATATTTTACATGAACTTCATCTCAATTTTAACTTGAATTTCGTTCTTCTCAAAAATTACAAATTTCGCCCTCAAAAAATACCGACAGTTATCGGACTTAAAAGTTGAAAAATATGGCGGAACTGCCAAGATATTAAATGATCTTTATGAGTTTTAAAGTAACTTGAAATCTTAACGAGTTTTATTAGTTTAAATATATAGAGATAGGATCAGAAAATATGCATCGGTAAAAGTGCTAGAAGTTAACATGCTTATGAAATAGAAAGACACGTGATTATATATTTTTTTAATTTTTATGTGTGTCAAAAGTATGAGCTTACCAAGGTATACAATATAAAACTTTTATGCAATAGCCTACTGTTAATACTAATACTTTTACCGGTTTTCTGATAGCTGGTTAAAACGGATGCCAGTAAATCCGCAGAATACTCCTGTATTATGTATGTTAGCCTCTTTTAATTTCCTTTATGTTCCGATTTTCGATCTAACTATACACGCTCATAGTCAACAAATATACTGATTGCTTTGAATATTTCTATCATTTGTCATAGTTGCATAGTTAAATATTGAAATTTGATTGCCAAGTGCTAATCATCATCAACAGCCTTTAATAGTCCACTGCTGGACATAAGCCTCTCCTTAGAACGGAGGTTTTGGCCTACGTGCTAATAGTTTAATAATATTCTTTTCCTACCTACACTTAGACAAAGCTCGCATACCGTGGCTCATGATTTCATTTTCTTAGTTCCTGTTATTACATGTTTTGAATGCGTTCAAGAATTTTATAATATAGTTACACGGTGTAGATCAAATGTTCATGAATCCCATTAAACCAGATCGTCAAATATGTAAAACGTAAGAAGAAATTTAAAATCATAAATAGTAGATCATCTCTTTCTTCTATGAAAAGTAATAATGCAATTTATTTGTCGTTTTACCACAAATAACTTACAGTTATTCGCTATTCATGAGCACTTAATACTAGCTAGAGACATAATGCAAACGACATCACACTCGGAGCCTATCTCATATTAAAGTGTCCTTCAACGTAACTAAAAGGTTTTTCTTGTAAGAGTTGAGTTTTGTTTTGTTCTTTTCTCGTTCGTATTCGGTAAACATGTAAAGCCTTCAGTGTCAGTTAAGAATTATGTAAACATATGTATTTTTGTATAGTTGCCTTTTCGTTAAGTACCTACCTACTAGAGTACTTATGAGTTTACTAAAAGGATGAAACAATAACTCGATACATGCTTTTGAAATCCATATTTCAAATTAACAATACACGTATGTTACATCTCTTTCTGCAATTTTGGCAGTATTCTTAAATATTTCGCTTTTTGTTTTCAGTTTTCTGTTCCGTTACGCAGACGACTCCTTCACTTCAGCCTTCGTATCCACCGTAGGCATAGACTTCAAGGTGAAAACAGTTTTTCGCCACGATAAGCGAGTCAAACTACAGATATGGGTACGTATTTAGACAGTTAGACAGTAACTTACTATAATTTTTTTGTTATATAATATAAGAATATTATATACCGTCCTATTTAAAAAAAATCGGCTTTGTAAAGCTACACTCTCTAGCGCTGGCATAGAAGACAAAATCTCGTTTAATAAGCATCTAAAAGGGTTCCCAGATTTGATTATCATTAGACTCGTTTGGTTATTAAAGATGAGGAGGATTAAAGAGAAGAGAAATTTTCTGGTGAAGAGTTCTCTTGATTGGCCAATATTAAGCGACGTTTGTCAGGGCCTCGATATATTTTATTTTCTTATAATAGGTATAAACAAGCTTATAAGGTTTTACTAAATTTACTAAGGTATTTAGTGAACACTATTATGCTAATTATGATATGAGACTGTAGACAAATAAAATGGCGACACTATATTGCAGTAGTTTCTAGATCTGTTATAATAGTCATTAATAAATAAATATGCGATATGAACATAGTTGTTGTAGACGAAGTAAAGTGATTTTATAAGCCTATCTTATACTTATTACTTTTAGCTACCTCGTCGCCACCATTATTGAAAGCGTTTTTATGGACACTTAGTCCATAAAAACGCTTCATACACATATACAGTTCTCCTTACCTCTACCCTTCATGTTTCCAAGTTTCAACAGTGTGAACTTTTGAGAATTCTAGGCATAGTTTCAAAAAAAAAAAATAAAGAAAAAAAAAATTAATCTATTTTGATAGTAAATATTTTGTAAAATTTAATAATATATGTAAAAATTAAGCTACAAAGCTCTTATGCGTTGTTAGATGCGAATTACGTTTATTCCAACAGGATGTTATTCACGCAAAAAAAAAACATTACAAAAAGTTAGACTTCAACCCACACACAAGCAATTAATATTTAATAGGCCAACGTTTTATGTTGTTTTAGGAGTCCTACACATTTATTTCGGACAGCACGTTCAACGCGGTTTTTTTTAACGCAATATTCAGCGTTAAGCGTTCGAGAAACCCACATCAAACTTGCTGGCACAAATAATCTTTACGTACGCTTAGAACTCTGCAATTTTTTCTCGGTATTTAAATACCAGGATCGCCAGAAAATATGTTAACCCGATAAACTAATTACAGGAATCTTGAACAATTTTATGTAGTGCATTATTTATTAGTTGGCTAACACATTAAGCCGAGTTAAAACGATTAGATTAGTATCACCGTAAGACTTAACAGTAAAGCCATATCCATTTCAGTATTTTTTAGTGTTGTCTACATGTCTTTGTATTTATTTCAAAGATATTCTGTAATTTACGTAACTATCATAACAATTGGAATGATTTATGAATAAGTAAGAGGATTTAAACTTTTCAAATATATTTTTGATACAATTCGTTACGTATTCGCAGATAATTAATAATTTGATTATTTTCAGAACATCAGTTAAAATTTGAGTAGTGTAATCATGAGCGTAATTCATCTGGGTAATTTTCACACAAAATTTAATAAGATTATAAATGCCGACTATTATAAGTATTATAACTGTATATTTAATGTATCAAGAACTGCTCACTGATGGCCTAGTAGTATAAAAATAAACTACATTACTCAATACTTTTTTAACCTTTTTTTCCTCATTTAAGTTACACCATTGATTTTTCTACTAATTTGATAACTTTGACATGTGAAAATCCGCACGATAGCCTGATTGCGGCTATCGTGCGGAGCGAGAGTGCGTGGGACTCTGCCGTCTCCTTCTGCGAGCAAGTTATGCTCGCGAAGGAGACGGCGGAGCGGGACCGGGAGAGGTCTAGGACTCTCCCGGCCCGCCAGGCCCGGGAAAGGGCCATTTACCGCAGGCGACTCAGGCGCCGGAGGTCGCAGAACGACCTCCGTCCTCCATAAGCGCAGGCCAGGCCTGCGCTTATGGGTGACAGGTGAGGCCATCTGTCACCCTAGCAGAAGCAGGCCGGGGCGGCGGCGAGCGCGTTGCGAAGCGCGCTCGCTTCCAGGGAGCACAGGGAACATGGGGTTCCCACACGGGGGGGGGGGGTCGTCTACTCGTCTGTAGATGACCCGAGGTATGTCGGGGCACCAGGGACTTCCTTTCTAGGGTATACCTGGTTCCCCGGCTATTAGTACCCGGCGACGGCGTGCGGTTTTAGTCGGTTCGAGTCCGACATGCCACCGACAGGTGGTATCCGAGGGGATTTCCGCACGGAAAAAAAAAAAAAAAAAAAAAAAAAAAGGGGATTAATATCCAGAGAATGGTTTATACCAGTGGTCAGTTATCTGTCCAATAACTTTAGTAATAGAATCTTTTTTGTATGTGACCCCCTTTTTTGTATGTACTGCTCTAGATGCCGCGTCATATCTCCCGTGGCAGCACTAACCTATCTCCTTTCCTAGTGTCCGACTTCTTTCCTACTTCTCACCATCTTTAGGAAATGCCTCCCTCCCAACCCGACGATCCCGGTCAGACACTAGGCCTAACATATTCTGTGGTCTGCACGCAGGAGCATCAGGTCAGATAGCCGCATCCATGGTTCGAACTGGACGAAAACTGTAGAATCATCGCTAAAACTTATTACAAATTGGTTGACAAATAAATTATTAACACTAAATTTACAAAAAAAATTACCTATATAACTTTTGGCCTGCAGTTATGATCATGGCACTAGGAATAAATGTATCTACTGTATTAAAATTATACGCTCAAATGCTGTAAATTATTATGGCTCGATAATTGATAGTACATTGTCGTGGCATAAACAAATTGATTCTCTCACTTTGCGAGCGAGGAAACTAACATTTGTTTTAAAAAAAGTTGGTCATCTGCCTAGTTTAGTCACGCTAAGAACGGTCTACTTTGCATTATCACACTCTATTTTGACCTACTGCATAACAGCATGGGGAACTAGAAAGGGCTCAAAGAGCCATTTTAAAGGTTATCCTTGTCAAAGCTATACGTTTCCCCATTGTACAGTTATAAGAAATGAAAACTTCCAACTGTTAGGCTTTCCTTTTTTTTTATCATACGGAAGCACCGGGAATTTAAATTTGACCCTATATATAAGTCAATGAAAGGGGAATGCGACATCACATGTAAAACAATGCTTGCTGCGATAAACGCAGCAAAAAAACTTTATTACTTTTTAGGATCTGTTTTATACAATAAAGTGAATAAAGAGATACATATATACCCCCTAACTCTCCCCTAACAATTGGTTGAGCACCTTGACCTACGGACAGCTAGAAGGTCTCTTGAAACCATGAAATATTTGCAATTTTCTGTTCAATTCTAAGTACATTTTCACTCACACACAAACACATACATAAACTAACACACTGACACACACACACACTCGCACATATACACATTTCTTATTTTGTTTCTGTTCATAAGTTTTTGTAAGCACTACTACTAGCAGTAGTACACACTACTAGTATATTTAGTAATATATTTTTGTATTGGAATTTTGTGATATCTCCTTAGGTGGCCGTTAATAACTGTGTCACACAGTTGAAAACTACTACAGTTATTCTCGTACACTTGCAATGTACCCAAGCTTTTGTTTCCAATGAATATATTTATACTCGTTAATGATGTGATTCGGCAGCTCCCTGGGTGACGAAACAGCTCTATTCAGAGAGGAGGAATGCACGCACCTTCCTTTATTTGAAACCCATCTGGCTCCTCCTCGAAAAACCGCCTTCGTATCCCGGGAAATTCGCCGTTATTGTGTGGATATTGCTGCTTTCAGTGTGACACACCTCGTTGACGAGGGCGAGAGGGTGGAACGCAAGGGCGGATATACCTTCTTTTGGAAAGGGGTCATGTGTTCATGGCAAAAATTAGGTATATTAGTCACCTGAGAGCACATTAATGAAGCTCTCATTAACCATTTCAAAGTCGCCGTAACCGAATACGATCTGGACGAATGCGTATAAATACTTAATACTGAATATGCGAATTTAACAACTTCATATGGTATCATTGAAAAGATTACTACATTACAAATTCGTGCTTTTAAGAAATACATGTTCTAACATGTTTCGTACACCTTTATCCCAAGTAATCAATTAAAAAACAGCCGTGTGGTGTCGTGGGACACCCGATAGGAACGAAGTTGTGACGATCGAGTAAAACTGATTTGACACGATTTTAATTACAACGCCATCTATGAAAGCGGCTATTACCTACATATTAAAAAATCTCCTTGCGAAATGATTTCCTATCTATTCGATAGATGGCGCTGAATGTCTGACCAGATGACACAAAACTAAAGAGCAAAAAGCCAACATCACGTGGTATTCCCAGGCGGTCACCCATCCAAGTACTAACCACGCCCGATGTTGCTTAACTTCGGTGATCGGACGAGAACCGGTGTATTCAACATGGTATGGACGTTGGCGAACGTTAAAGCAAATTTAATGTATGGTATCCACAGTTAGACGTCAATTTATATTAAAAGTGTCGTGACAAATTTTCGTACGAATTTTTTCCGTCTAGCCCCCTTTCACAACGCGCGATAAGGAACTTCGTTCCAATAATTATAATTTTAAAATCTTAATCATGATTATTTAATTTTGTTTGTTACAGGATACGGCAGGACAAGAACGTTACCGTACCATCACTACGGCTTACTACAGAGGAGCTATGGGTTTCATCTTAATGTATGATATAACCAACGAAGAAAGCTTTAACAGCGTGCAGGATTGGTAAGTTTTCTCTACATTTTAAAAACAAAATAGGTTTACAATATTTTATTTGTTGGAATATTAATAATTTCAAGTTAGAGGGCTTCTACTTAAATTAATTTCTTTCCTTTGCCTACTCTCATTTCTTTCTTTAGAAAATATTTATAAAACTTTTACAACACAGAACACAGACGTGATTATATGCATATTAATCTGCATATCAATGACATTTTGCAAACTAGTAGCATCCATTGCTATGTAGATGATAGTACGCGAGATGCCCTTTATACCGGCCGACCCAGTATTTCTCGGGAAAACGTCATCGAGGGTCGAAATAAACTTGTGTCTGAAATTGAAACTGCCTTGGCGGAGGTTTCATGTTGGGGTCGAATAAATCTAGTCCTCTGGAACCCAAAAAAGAACCAGGTTTACGCCTTCACCGCAAAGAAGATACTTTTTATCGTATCACCTCAGTTTGAGAGCACCTTCCTAGCTGCATCAGCCAGTATCGTAATCCTAGGCATCGACATATCGAGCGCAGTCCAGTTTCGTGGTCACTTAGAGGGTAAGGTCAAATTGGCCTCAAAGAAGCTCGGTATGCTAAACAGATAGAGGCAGAATTTCACTCCGCCTTTATTCTATCAGGCGCAAGGTCGGCCGCATATGGAATACTGCTCTCATTTCTGTGCAGAGACACCTCAGTACCAGTTTTTCCCTCTGGAATGCATCCAACGATGAGCGCTTCGAATCGTCGATAGCCCAAGGATCTTCGATCGGCTCGATCCCTTGGCGTTACGTAGAGATTTAGCTTCACTCTGAATTCTCTATGGTATAATATCATGGAGAGTGCTCTGAGGAATTGTTTGGACTTGTACCGGCCGCAACTATCAGTTTCAGACGACCCAATTTTCATCCCCATCACCCGGATAATTGGTGCTCTATCACTTTTCAAGACACTGTTTGCTTCGCACAACTTCAAACCTTTAAGAAAAGAGCATACTCTTTCCTAAAAGGCCGGCAACGCGCTTGTGACTTCTGAGTTGCTGGCTTTCATGGCCGGCAGTAGTCACTTTCCATCAGATGAACCGTCTGCTCGTCTGATCCCTTTTACATGAAATAATAATATATGTACTTTTAACCATTGAAGCTAAAGTCAATTTGTGGGAAATGGAACTGCTTGGTTAACTAACTAACGGTTCCATTTTCCACAAATTGTCAACACCATCATGACAGCGCGAGGCAAGACATGCATTGAATTAATGTATATGATGACGACCGGATGGAATAGTGGTTTGTGTAACGGACTGCTATTCCAAAGGTCGCGGGTTCAATTTCCGCTCAAGTTAAGCATTTGTGTGCATGAACATTTAATGTTTGATTTGGTCTGGGTGTTTCTATGTATAATATGCATGTATTTACAATACAGAAAAGTATAAATGTATTCATATCAGTCTCTAGAACCCATAGTACAAGCTCTGCTAAGTTTTGGACTAGATGGCGTTGTGTGAATGTAGTAAAATATATTATATTTTATCCAATGATGATTTTAAAATCATTAAGGAACATGATTTCTCTTGTTTTAACTTATTAATGAAACTAATTTATTGCTACCTGGACTTTTTAGAACTAAGCCTCCTTTAGCAGATTTACCTGCAGACTTACCCTGCTGTGGTGCATCGCAGGTTATGACATTAGGATCCGGCTGGTAGGGTTAGGTCTCTGTTTTCTCGAGAACGTATTCCTCGTGGGTTTTTCTTTCTTTAATACTTATATTTAACTATTTTCAGGGTGACCCAAATCAAGACCTACTCATGGGATAATGCGCAAGTGATCCTAGTTGGTAACAAGTGTGACATGGAGGAAGAACGTGTTGTGAGCACTGAACGTGGCATGCAGTTAGCTGAACAACTCGGTGTTGAATTTTATGAGACCAGCGCAAAAGAGAACATTTATGTTAAGGTAAGACATATTGTATTCTTGATTTGTTTCTTCTGTGTTTACACAAAATTAATGTAGCAAATCGTTCATATTTGTCCGCTGAAAGTAGATAGAGTGTCAATTGGATTCTTTCCAATATATAAGATGTCGCTTACATATTATCGACCTAATAAAACCAGTAATAACTTTTATTTCAAATTTCATTACAATGACATGAACAATAGGGATGAACATACTCAACTATTATGTTATTGCGATCATATATTACTGGCGACCCACCCGCTGGTGGAATTTTTATGACATCACATTATAAGTCTTTGAAATTCTCGAATTTTCTCTCCTATAATATGCGTGTAGATAGAATAGATACAAACTTTCCTCTTGGATCACTCTCTATAATTATTTATTCTATAAAATCCGTTGCGCAGTTTGAAACATCTTGGCGTACAGGAACACGCAGCGACTTCTCTTGTACTATATAAATATACGATTTGGCATACAATAAAGGCATATCTGCATGTCCGTATCAAACAACTTTTAAAATATAAAACTACCGTTAATCTGTTTATTTTTAATTTGTAGGCTGTTTTTGAACGACTGGTGGATATAATATGCGACAAGATGTCAGAGAGCCTGGATTCAGAGCCAGCAATGTTGGCGGGAGGAGCACGCGGCCAGCGTCTTACGGAACAACCACAAGGCAGCTCCAACACTAACTGCAACTGTTAATACATTTACCTACCTACTTTCAGTTTTATAACTTTCGTTTTAGTTTAACAATAACATATTTTATGTTCATACAAACGGGGTTGAAATTTATTTTCTATTGTTTTGCAACGTTTTATAAACAAATTCTTGCATTGACGAACCCCGATATCCATTAATTTTCAAAAACATTACATGAGTTGTTTTAAAAAAAAATGTGTTCTCTAGTTACTTGTTATTATTCCATGCATAAATTTTTATTTGAGTAACGAAATTAAATCATTGTTAAAACATGTGTAACAACAAAAATATGTATTAGTATTATTAAATCTATAGGTGTTAGTTAGCTATCTACGTATTGCGAGCTGGAGTAGGGATCTGATACTTCTAATAGCTGTTAATATTTTATCTTTAACGAATTTGTGTCGTGAGTATGTTATATTTACTGAATTTTAGTCGTAAATATGTTACACTTATTCTCTGTTATATCTATCGTATGTTGTTAAAATATTATTTGCGAAATTCAAGATTAACAACGATATATTTTAATAAGTAGTTATATCTGAATGTTAAGCACGGTTTTACTTTTAGAAAATGTAGCAATCCCAAAAGTATTATTACGATTTGGACCAAAAACATTTTTAGTGTATATTTACAAATCATAAAGTTCACAAGGCGCAAATATATTTAGTTTAAAATATATTTTAGATTCATATGTTCGATGATTGTGTTTTAAATGTAAAAGCTTGTTTTCCGCCTTTTCCTTGCTTCGTATAAGGTCTTGTAACACTACTACAATTGATAGAGTTGTTATTTTATAATTAGTTAGTTAATAATTAATCAATGTTCGTTGTTATAATTTGGTGTTATCTTGGAGCTGTCTTTGATATAAACCTCACGAATGCTTCGATACCCCTTGGCCTGAATTTAAACTTTAAACTTATCAGGTAAAATATGATACCTAAAGTGTTTGTAAATACGTTAATCAAATGTATAAATAATTGTATAGTATATTATCTACCTACATATAAATATGTTTGTATTCTTGTTAAATCCTATGCTATATTGAAATATAACTACACATAGGTGTTTAATCCAATCACTATGTTTAGTATTTAAGGTACTTTGTACGATTTAAGTTCTATGCATCACTCGGGTAGCGTAAGCCTGCATCTGAAACTATAATTATAAAATATTTTCAGTGACGTCCCCTATAAGGCGACACTGGATTTTTTTATCTGTAGACGACATAGACAATACGATTTATATCAAATTCTGTTGAAACATAAGCACATTATTTTTTAGACTGTTGTAAAGAAGCAAGCCATGTTAGTGTTGTATCAATTAAAAATATGCATTCGACTTCTTACATCACAAAAAGAGTAAGAAGCTTCTGAAATGACTGGTATTGTAATGACTTACAGATGTATATGTTTATATTATAATATGACAACTGACTTGGCTTCCTGCTCTACGCTCTATTTATTAGGTAAATTAGTTAATAGAAAATGTGTCGACATTACTTCGATGGGGTGTAAACTTATATACGTAGACGATTTTATTCCAGTAAAAATATTTAAATCAGTGGCTCAGTTCATCGCTTCTACGAAACGTAATGGACCTTATCTAAAATAAAATACAACTTAATAAATTAAATTAAATTATTAAAGCCAAATTGGTTAATATGAATTAATGTATGACAGAATTTACAACAATATTAACTGATATACTCTAAGTACTAATTTGTCTAAATAATTTAATATCATTTGTCTCTAAAATTCCTGACTAGACGACTTACATTTGCTCATGCTATTGTTTACTTATTTTTATTAAGTAAATAATGTTTAATCAAAGGAAATTATCTTCATAATAATAGTATCTTCGTACGTGAATGTATGAAATCTTCAGTCTATACAAAACTGTATGTAAAAAGTCAATTTGACAAAATCAATTACGAGTACTCTGTGGACCCAATACACTGTTAGAATTGTGTCTAACTAAAGGATCGTAGAAAGTGATTTGAGACATGAGCTGTAGATTATTACAAATTCGGATCTGTTTAAGTGCAATATTATGAATACCAAACATAAAAACATTTGACACTTAAAATGTTACTCAATAAATTCGATTTTGCATTGTAAAGGTTACCAATTTTCCTTTACACTTAGTACTATTGTTAATGCATTTTTGTTAGAGATAGTACAGACCATTTTCAGACCTTATTGGGGCAATTATTTGATCAAAGTAATAACAGCAGCTCTTTGTCCATCTTTGAACATTAAGAAAATGTATCAGAGAAAAGAGTGTTATTTGTTTTCTGAAACATTTGATGTAAACGTAAAGAGATGGTCCAGTGTTGTATTCCATGAGCCCTCTTTTGCTCATGGCATACAACACTGGACCATCTCTTAAATAGATCCTAGACAGCAATGTATACAATGGTGCAGCAAAATTCACGAATAAAAAAAATATGTGAATGACACTTACCGATATAAGCTGAATAGTTTTTCAATGTATGAAAACCAAGAAAAATAGTACAGTTGCTACATATTGTCATTTTATGGCTTTAGTAAAATTATTGAATGCCTAATATTAAAGGATTGAATTAAAACTCGGGGAAAATTTCGATCTTTTTAGTGCATCCCTCATCTGTTGAATGATATATTTAGTATTTTCGTGACTAGCGGTGCGTGTGAGCCCTGTAGGGCGTGAAAGATGGCATATCGTAGTGATGGGCTTTAGTAGAATATGTTTAGCAATTGCGTAGAACCTATCACCGTTTTTATACTTTTAACAAAAACCTGTGTTTAAAAACTTGTCTGGACAAAAATACGTTCTGATCATTCATTTTTGTCATTTGTCATCGTATAACATTGGTTCAGATAGTTAATGTATTTAATTAGCTGTGTTGGTATAATGTATGTTATAATTATTGTTGTGTGTTAATAAAATAATTATTTAAAGATACACCCATGTAAAAGATTCACGAATATAATATATATTACAATAAATTAATGGTGTGTTTTGTTTTGTTTGCTTTATAGAAATAAGAAATCAAAATTTACCTGAAATATTATTGGTACAGTAGCAAATGTTGTATTTTTCATAAGGTGAGATTTCAAACCAAACAACAGTAGCAAAATACAATTTCAGCATTAATTTTATTTTAAGAAAAATACCAAACCAGCTTAGAGAAAATAAAGGAAACCTACATTTTAGAAGGTAAATGGATTGAAGTTGTGCTAATAAAATAGTAGTCTATATAATAAATGAATGACGAGGATTTTGGGTGCTATTACTATCAAAAGTATGGACATGATCAAAACTTTCCGCGAATCTGTGCTTTGACCAAAAATTTTGCTGGAATTAGAATTCTGAATGATAATGATTCTTGTGCTTTTATACAATGTTATTTTTCTATATAATTATTACTTCACGCAATAACAATATATATGTCAGGATTTTTTAAATAAGTAAATGAAACAATAATTTAATAGGTACTTAAAGTTTTTCTTAAATTAAAAAAAAACACTATAACAGGTCCATGTAAAGAATTTTTCAAAAACCAACAATAAACAATCTAAAACAATATAATGTTGCTGGGCAAACCCAATATAAGACCAAACTAGCTTGTTTAAGCCAAACCAGTTTATTGACTAGATTTTCTAAGCTACACTTGTATATATTGACGTGCATGACTTTGAATTGAACGAAATCGGGTTTGACTTTTTTCAGAGTATTGTGTAGTAGGTAAACTTCCGATGAAAAATTTTGGGCAATCTAAAATTACTAAAAGTAGCTGCTTTGATGATGTTGTTTTGGCACATTAAAGTACAGCAATTTGACGCAGGTCAATGTAGGTATTAATTAAATACGAAACTTGAGGAGTGGACAAACGTCAAATCGGCCATCATTGTGTGCCGCTACTATAGTTTCATATTTCTAAAGATTTTTCATCGAAAGATGAACGATTGAAATAGATTACCATGATTTTTTCTATATTTTCGACACTTAGTCTGTTTCTTTTGACATGTAGTATCCATTTATAAATTGAGAAAGATCGTTCAACATCTGAAGACGTTAATGGTGCAAATTTGTAATACTTTGTCATGGTCATCTATTTCGAGACCTTTTTTTAGTTTTTCTCGAATAATTTCTAAGTCAGGATTCCTTTCCATAACTTTCTCAATTTTTTTATTTATACTCTCAGATGTTTTACAATTTAATACAGTTTTTACATTATCAAATGCAAGAAATGCTTCAGTGATCGTTATACAACTTTTTTCTAATTCAAGGATAAATCATTTTAAAATTTTCATAAATTTCTTTCAAATTTGCTTCTAAGCTTGCTTTATTTACTACATTTTTTGCATTTCTTATTGCTAAGGATTCTGAAGTGTTTAAATGGGAAAGCACTCTTTTATTTGAGTGAAATGTTTGGTGTAGTACGATGCTGCCTCTAACCAGGTCATCTTGTGATTACTGGCTGTGGACTCAGCGGCAAATCAGGCATCAGTCTTAAATTAAAAGTTCTGACTCTATTTGGAACCTTAAAAATATATTTTAAACATTTGATATTAAATCATCAACGTCTATACATTCCTGTCTCACTTGCATCTCACTTAATTTGTGAAGTTCATGAGCCAAACATGTCACATGTTTCATAGCAGGAAAAATGTTTTTATTCGCCTACCAGTAGCCAACCTTTAATCTAAGACTGTCTGTGCAAAAAATTAAAATGTTGTATACCTTGACTTCGAATTAGAATGAATTAGATCACAGAGATTCGAGGGAGTTAATTACAAATTGGGTTACAGTTTGACCATTGACTTGTTCAAGTACTTACACTACAAGTACTTACTTCACTTAGGGCCTAACCAATAAGTTCATGATATTTCTACCCAGAAAATCTGCTGTCTCGTCAAAATATATCCACAATTCCCCATTCGTAATTTTTTCCATGTATGGATTTAAATTCTTTATCTAAATAAACTTTTCTTAATCTTCGCCAGGCAATGATTTTT